GCAGCTTATGTCTCTTGTTATGGAGTGCTTCTTATCTTGAGGACAGGCGGTCAATAAGCAAAGCTTTTATATGGCTTTCTTTACAGAGAGGGCGCTTTAAAGATTCCTGTGCAGGAAAACACAGAACTGCTTTTTGAGTTGTGGCGAGGAAAATAGAAATATCACCAAAGCAGTCAGATTAAAGGTGCTGTGGGTAAATCTGACTGGATGACTTCAAAATATGTGCCCAACTGGTATTGATGCATTTTAAAACGCTGTATTTTGAATAAAATGAGTGATATCTTGTTTTCATTGTCCAGATTACAGGGCCTGATAATAAAGGAATTTATAAAGGCGATCGAGAGTCCAGTGGAAAATACACATTTGCTGCCCACATGGATGGAACTTACAAGTTTTGTTTTAGTAACAGAATGTCCACCATGACTCCCAAGATAGTGATGTTCACAATTGATATTGGGGAAGCTCCAAAGGGGCAAGATATGGAGACAGAAGGTGAGAAAGACTCCTAAGAAGAAGGCTCTCTTTCGGGAGCTCTTACCTACATGCATGACTTGTGAATGTGACTAGGATTCTCAGAGTTCCTGTTTCTTCAGGCGGTCTAGTTGGCTGTTGCACAGCTAAAATGGATATGGATGTTTTTAGACCTCGTGGCACAACTTAATGCAAAATCACCAGGGCATCACTTGGCCGTCTGCAGAAACGAGTGCTTTCATCTTTTAGTCTTTTCATCAGTTTCTTTCTCTGATTTCTAGTTTGCTCAGCAGTATGTAGATTGCCATATGCATTAGTTGAGCTCTTTGGTAAATGTGCTAATGAAACAATATTTTCTCGTGGCCATGTAAGTTACTGTTTTATCTGCAGCCTTTTGTCCTGTACTTGTGTTCATCTCTTACACTTTTCTCTAGGTGGTGGAGATACCTGGGATGGTATGTGTACTGCTTTTTGAAAGCTCATTAGCATCTTGTCTTTGCATATGTTTATTCACTAACAGCTAACGTTTGCTTTTTCTCTGTAATGTTTGTTTGTAGCATGAGAATGTCTTTAATAAACTACATCAAAGGTCTGATTCTGAGCAATGCTGAGCACTGCAAGCTTCCATCGAGAGGTTGAAATACTTAGCAGCTCTTGGGATCAGGTCCTCAAACTGGCCTTGACACTTTGTCTTCAGGTCATGATTTGTGGCTAACAGAAGGCTTGATTAGATGTTTTAGGTGGAATTGAACTAAAACAATGGGCATCCAGGAGCATTAAACTATATTTACTTACTAAAGTGAATGTTGGATAATCGAGGGCTTTTGGAAACAACAAATTCCACCTAGGATATGAATTAGCAAACATGTTGCAAGAGGAGAAAACTGGGAAGTTGCCATTTGCTGCAAATTAAGTGTTTGGGTAACAAGTTGTAAAGTTTTCTTTAGAAATCACTAACTGAAGCTAGAAAGAAAGTTGTTTTTGGTTTTTGTTTTTGTTTTTTTTTTTTAATGTGAGTAAATAACTGTGTGAATTGAGTGCTTGGTTGTTACCTCTTGGTGAAATTTAACAAATTCTTAACTTGATTTTTTTTTTTTTTAAATCTCAGTTAAATCTTCTTATTGAATGTGAAAAGACATCGTAAGCATCAATGCTAAGGGATGTTAATAGAGCTTTAAATTTTAAGATAAACACTTTTCCCTGTGTTTTTTTTTTTAATGAGCTTAAGCAATACCTGAGGCTAATTTCTTCTCCAATAAACTGTACGTATGGCAGTGACCAGCTGTGAAATGAGAGATTTATGTTAGCAAAGTGAGTGTAGTTTTGACATCTACTTAAACTCCAGTTAGGACTTGTATGAGTGTTATTCTCTGGCCATCTTTTTGTCTGTTACCCAAATGTGTATATTTTTAATAGATTTGCTTTCAGAACGTGAATTTATAAAGAAATAATATAGGTAGCTTCAAAATCCAATATATCCCTTCAAGAGATGTTTGCCTGGAGTGTGTCTGTGGAATGATTGCTCAAACTTCTCTTGGTGCTAGAAAACTCTGAAAATTACTTGCATAATTCATAACTTTTGTTAGTGGGCAGTTCTTTGAGCATGAAGGTATTGAAAGGATCCTGTGATTGACAAATCACTAAATCTTGGATCTCTGTTCCTTCCATGTGCTGAATTGTCTCAAGCTAATTTGCTGTTATTGTTAGTTCATTTTCTTACTCTTCTGCTTTCATGACATACCAGAACCTGAGGCCAGTTCCTGCCATTTGCTGTTCCCCTTTGGCACTGTTTCTGCTGAACGCTGTGCTACAGCTAAGCAGGGAGGCACAAGATGTGATACGTTGCTTCACACAGTCATCTCGTTTTGCCAGCATCATGATCTTAAGCTAAATTCTCAGTTGTTCTCTTTTTGCAAACTTAACAACTAGAAAAAATAGCTGTTATGTTAAGATAATTTGCTTGGAGGATATTGGAAAGTACTTGCAAAGTGGGTAACAGTGTGGTAATGATCTCATGTATTGTTACGTTCTGTTTTTCTGGAGTCGTGTGCCCATCTTGGATAGAAGTGGTCTGCACTGACTCAATTGGGTGCCAGCTGTCATCCAGTTGGATGTGGTGAGAGGTGTTTTCCCCCTCAGTAAATGCCAGTGACGTGCTATGAAAAGTGGCAACGAGACAACAAAACTATTTTGCTGTAAGGATAGAAAGTTTTCATTGTCCAGACTGCATTTTTCAGAACTCCCTCTGTGATGGGAAGTTGATTACAACTGTTCATATGTTTAACAAAATGTTTTTTTGAGTAAATAACTTTCTGATGCTTCTGAAATTATTCTGCAGCTCATCAGAACAAGCTAGAAGAGATGATTAACGAGTTAGCAGTGGCCATGACAGCTGTAAAGCATGAACAGGAGTACATGGAAGTTCGTGAGAGAATACATAGAGCAAGTAGGTGTCTTTTGACTTAAATGCCTTTTTTTTTTTTTTTTTTTTAAGATTTATTTCTAAGTCCATAGAGCTGTTTCAAATTACTAAAAAGAATTCAGAACAAATCCTGACCCAGTCAGACCCAGTATGATCGACACTTGCAGTCTCTACATTTTCTTGTCTCTCATGTAATGAAGATTGTTATGCAAAATACAGAAAAAGCACAGCAGGACGTTGCAGTGTGTGTGCAGAGGTGAGATGAACATCTGCTTGCACAGCTTGGTTCAGGCTGTGCAGGTTCTCAGTTCAGTGCCTGGAAGCCTTGTACAGCCGTGATACAAATACCAGTGATGTCATTGTAAGGCTTATATGCAATTCTTTGGATCCTGTGACAAAATATCTCATGATGGAGATATAATTTGTTTTAAATTCTTTGTTCCTTTTTTTTTTTTTCCCTCAACAGTTAATGACAACACAAACAGCAGAGTGGTCCTTTGGTCATTCTTTGAAGCTCTTGTACTAGTTGCCATGACACTGGGACAAATCTACTATCTGAAGAGGTTTTTTGAAGTCCGAAGAGTTGTTTAAGAGTACTGTACCTGGTCCTGGATTTCAGTTCACTGTCTACCAAACATCCTGGTCACAAAAAAAAAGTCACTAAGTTTCGAAACCCTCTTTACTGAACTGTAAAACTTATTTGCTTACGTTCCTTCCTAGTTAAAAATGAATTGTTTTTATATATCTTCTGTAGCAAAAGCTATGCTGAAATCTCATCACTTAATTGGCCTGTTCTTTTTTCCTTTTCACTTAAACCTGCCTAGTCTGTATGCTAAGCAAGATCCAAGCAAGCTGCAAATGCTGTAATTCAGCTGTAGTAACAAGCAATGTCTGTGTCTTTTCTAACGTTCTGTTTCCATAAGTACTTGCAGTTCTATCTAGGGAAGCGGTACAAGGCCCTGATGTGACTGTTGCATTTCTCACATCATGAACCCTGCAGGAAGTGTTACGAAATTGAAGGAATCCCTTCTTCACTTCTGCAAACTGCCAAGGAGGAGTGATTGGAACTTTGATAATGAGTAGATCTGACAACTTCTGATCTAGTATACGTACCTGATTAAAATTTAAAAGCAAGTGTTCAGTAACTCTCCTAATTGTACCAACTTATCCATGGAGGTTTTTAACGAAATAACCAGTATCAAAATAGATCCTCTACCAAATGTTCATCACGCGGTTTTTAGTCTCTTTCAGGTTTTAAATTGGAGCCCATTGTGTGCAGTGTCTTGGCAAACAGCAGTTAACCCTTCGGTTCGTGCAGCTCCAAAGCTGAGGCTGTTGCTGCTCCTGCAGAGTGCAGCGGTGTTCAGGACATGTGGATTCCTGATGCCAAAGGGTTAACAGTTCTGGGGTTTATTGCAATGCTATGCAGCCCTTGTATTTAAGTTAAGTGGCAGTCTCTGCCATTTTCTGGTCACAGTTAGCATAATGCTAAGTACTGGTGTGTTTTCTTTTTCAGGCACGTGTAGATTTGTTTTTGTATAAAGTTACTTTCCTTGGTATCTGATGATTGGTTTAAAAATTAAAGATGCGTCTGGTGTGGGTGCTGAGCCAGGATTCTGTTGTGACTGATGTACATTAGTTGTAATCATTTTTGGGGTGGGGTGGGACCTTTTCCAGGGGGGAGCCTCTACAAGTTACACACAGCAGTTTTGTACAATTAATTTAAAATTTGTTACAGGTTTTCATGTTCCAGGTAAAGATTTTGCAACCTTGGGCAAACACTGGCAGCAGTTCCTTAGCAAGGTGGTGTTACACCTTATGGCAACTGTTGTGTGCCAATATTTTTGTGTAAAACACTTAAATTGAATTATAAGATGTACATTTAAAATTGCTTGTGAATCTAAATATGACCCAGGTTCAATAAATAAACAAATTCTTAAAAAAAAAAAAGAAAAAGATAACCAAACACCACGCTGTATTTATTTTTTTCTGACGCTTTGCAGGAGGTTCTTGAGGTGCTGCTTTGCACTCTAAAGGTTTTGTTTTTTTTTTTAAATGCTTTTATCAACATCCCTGGGTATCCAGAATTCATCCGACCGTGACCCGGTGTTGTGGGCAGGTAGAAGAAGTTATGGTTCTTCTGTGCTGTTGCTGCTGGCTGTGCCGTTGGGTGTACAGTGCTTCCGTAGGGCTCACAGAAGCGGTCTGACGGTTCCCGTGCTATAAAACTCGGATTGTTGGCGCTCTGCGGGTCGGTGCTCGCGGTGGAGGCTCCCGGGGAGGCGGCGGAACTTCCCTTCTGGCGGAACCAAAGCGCTGCAGTGCGTGTTTCCGGCCGCCACCGCCGCAGCCGGAAGTGGGGACGAGTTCCGGCGGTGCGCTCGGCTCGCCGAGATGGAGGCGGTGACCGAGGGCGGTTGGTCCGCGCTGCCCGTGGCGCTGAGCCCGGCCGTGCTGCGGGCGCTGCAAGAGCTCGGCTTCGACCGCATGACTCCGGTGCAGGTGAGGGGGCGGCTGTGCGGCGGGGAGCCCGAGGAAGGAGAATCCGGGCGGGGCTGGCGCTGCGCTGGGTTTTTCTAGCAGAGCTGCTGCTCGGGTAACGCGGGGCAGCTCTGTGCTCCTGGGGAACCGAGCCTCTGCCACGTAACGATTAATTTGTTCGTGCGCTGCTTTTCTGTTTTCTTTCCTCAGTCTGCGACCATCCCGCTCTTCATGAGTAACAAAGACGTCGCTGCGGAAGCGGTGGGTGTCATCCGCTCGGGTCGGTTTTCTTGCTCTGTTTGTGGAGCTGGGGGAGCTGACTCTGTTTCCCTCTCCCAGGTAACGGGCAGTGGCAAAACCTTGGCGTTTGTGATTCCCATACTGGAAATTCTTCTCAGACGGGAAGAAAAGCTAAAGAAAATGCAGGTAAGGTGAAGTTGTGCAGCTTGAATGTGTTTTTGTGATATACCAGTAAGATTGAGGACCTTGGTAGGAGCACCACTAAGTCAAATTGAATACATGAAGTGACCCTTTGGTGTAGTGGTAACAACAAGAATAAATACTGGGGAGCTTTCTGTGCACTTACAGGTTTTTATTTGAATGATCAAACTTGTTCTGAGCTATTAGAAAAGTATCTCAGAATATCAAATAAGAGAATGTATGGCAAGCAAGAGTCTTTGAGTGCTTTCTGCATCTGTTGTCTTTGAATAGATGGTAAGTTACTTGTGCCACTTTCCTTGATTAAATATTGATATCAGCTGCTACTTCTTGACCATTTTACATATTGGCATAGCAGTTCTTTCAGAAGTCTTTTAAAAGATTGTGCTGGGAATGTTTTGCCTAAAGCCAGGGTCATAAACATGCCTCACATTCCCTTACCAGTGACAGTTTTGCAACAATCTTCCCTCTGCTATTTTGCATAAGTTCCTTTTGCTTGCAGGTTGGAGCTATAATCATCACACCAACGAGAGAATTAGCAATTCAAATTGATGAGGTGCTGACACACTTCACAAAACATTTCCCCAAGTTTAGGTGAGTGAACCTCAAGCTTTTCATGACCACCGTTCCTTTTTCTTTGGACTTCTGTCATTCATAAGGTCACAGAATTTAAAGATGTCCTGAACCTTTCTGTTCTGTTGTTTTAGTCAGATTCTTTTAATTGGTGGTAGGAATCCCATGGAAGATGTTGAAAAGTTTAAAGAACATGGGTAAGTTGGTTGTAACTGTTCCAGTGCCTTGCTGTTGTGTTTTTTTCCTTGTCATTAGAATACACAAATTATGGCTCTGGTTTTGCTGGTGCTGCTGTTTGATGATACTACATAAATATGTTGGGTACACACTAAAGAAGCTGTGGTTTAATTCACTGTAGTAAAATGCACCATAACCAGATTGCAGTGAGATAAGAAGCGAGGATGGCGTGTGAAATCAACCCCATTTCCATGCTGTGCGGGTAGAGAGCCGTGCACTGCATGGAGAGTTGAAAGCTGAATAATTCAGTTCCTTCATGTAAGTTTCTGCCAGCAGTGGACTCTGGTGTGGTTGAGTCTGTGCTGAATAATTGGAACGATTTGGTGCTGATACTCATGGGGAAACTTTGAAGCCATTTTCTTTGGCTTTTTGCACAGGAGTATGAAATATTTCTTCTAGCCGATAGTTGCTTTCAATAGTCATTAATTATCTTCTAAACTGTTATTACCACAAGTGGTGAGCTTGCACACAAGGGCTTTTTCCTCCCATCAGCATGACTGAAAGGCCCTGAAATATAAATACACTTGAAAGCAGCATGCTGAAATTCTTCTATTGACGAATGCATTCATTTTGAGTGCAGGTTTGTGCTGTGGTCGTTGTTAACAGCTCCACCAAAGGCATTACCTTTGTGGTTACAAAACTGCTGTGTGTTGCAAACAGGGGGAACATCATTGTAGCTACACCAGGTCGACTGGAGGATCTGTTCAGAAGAAAAGCAGATGGGCTGGATCTAGCAAGCTGTGTGAAGTCTCTCGACGTGTTGGTACTGGATGAAGCTGACAGGCTTCTCGATATGGGCTTTGAATCAAGGTATTTAATATTTAAATAAGAAGCTTTCATTATGCATCTGAAGTTTTAAATGAATTCATCATTAAATGAACGCTGTATTGTTCTTTGGCCTCTCTTTGCTCTGTAGCCTGTATAAAGCAATTGCTGTAAAGGGAAAGGAATCAGGGAACAGTGCTTGCCTGATGAACGCAAAGTTTAAGATTCTTTTTTCTGATGCATATTAGCATGTCATCATTTAAATATCAGCATTGGCTTAAGATGCTGTAACAATTAAGCACAGATGTCTTACTTGCAATGCTCTGACAAATTCTCGAACAGAAGATGCTTGACATTTAGTGATTAAAAACTTGTCTACAAGCTCATGCTTTCAGTGATTAAACTCATTTCTGAGGGAAATCTTGGCACATTTATGTCTTGCATGTTTTCACTTGCAGTTTAAATGCCATTCTGGCCTTTTTACCCAAGCAGAGGCGGACGGGTCTGTTCTCAGCCACTCAGACTCAGGAAGTGGAGAACCTGGTGAGAGCAGGGCTCCGGAATCCTGTCCGCATCTCGGTGAAAGAGAAGGGAGTGGCAGCAACCAACACACAGAAAACTCCGACGCGCCTGGAGAACTATTACATGGTGGGAGCCCTGTGCTTTGTGCTAGTGGGCATTCTTTCTCTCTTTGCCCCGATTCCGTCAGCAAGTTTTTAAGTCAGGGCCACTTACAGTCAGTTTAACAGACGAACCAGAAGATTCTAAGATGTGAAGCTCTTGTAGGTTATCTGAAGATTGGCAACCACGTGGAGGAGAAATGCCCTTAATTCTTAATGCTGTAGTTGTCTGCTGTATGAGTTCAGCTTTGTTTTGTTTGGCTGGCCAGGACCCAAACTGCTGCACTGTTGTGTCTCCCTGACCAAACATCAGTGTGTAATGAAAGGAGGCAGATCAGTTTGTATCGAGTCCATTTTCTTACTGATTTTCTTTTGCATTGTGTAGATATGCAAAGCGGATGAAAAATTTAATCAGTTGGTGCATTTCCTTCGACAGCACAAGCAGGAAAAACATCTGGTCTTTTTCAGGTAACTCTGTGTTGGTGTTTCATTGTGAAAACAAGGAGTTTTATTGCTGAAATTCCAAAGCTGCCCTGTGTTGATAAGGACGTGGCTATTTTAAATGTGGTTCATTTTAATAGCTGTCTTATGGAAAGAGGATAGAAGGAGATAGAATCGTGACATGAAGCAATGATCAGTGAACTTTACAAGATTATAAAAGTGAAGATTGTAGATGATGTGTTAATCATAAAAGTGATGTCCATATTTTAAATAAAAATAGACAAGTGGGTGTTTTTGAAAGGGCTCAAACTGTTCTGACTTGGCTGCAGATTAAATATACAGCATAATCTTTTTCTGTCTTCGTCACAACAGCACGTGTGCCTGCGTGGAATACTATGGGAAGGCTTTGGAATCCTTAATTAAACAAGTGAAAATAATGTGCATTCATGGGAAAATGAAACACAAGCGTAACAAGATTTTTACTGAGTTTCGAAGGCTCCCTGGGTAAGAACCAAGCAGTTACTCTAGGCAGAAGCAGAAACACTAAGAGATGCAATGGTGTCTGACAGTGTGCTTTTCTTAAATGACAGGTAGTGAAAAAGTGTTTTTTTCCTTCTTCTTCCTAGTGGGATTTTAGTTTGCACTGACGTGATGGCCCGTGGCATAGACATCCCAGAAGTACACTGGGTTTTACAGTATGACCCACCCAGCAGTGCGAGGTACAGCTTCAGATCTTACCAGCTTGCGCTCGTGCTGCTGTACTGTTGAGGTATAAATTGAGAACACACAGCTGTGGAAAAGGATTTCCTTGTTGCCTGGAAGTCTGAGCGACCTGCCAACAAGAAGGTGGCAACTTTTATCGTAACTGATGTGAGAGAAGTGGATTGGCTTTGTGGGCATAACGTATAGAAGTGAAATGGGTGGCTGTCACTTGCACTTGTGCAAAGAGGCTTTCTGTTCTAAGGGTTGTGTGAGAGTAGAGATGTCACACGCTGAGGTGTGAATGAGTGCAGAGAGCAGAGCTGTTTAAGGGTGGTACATTGAGAGTTCACGTGAGGGGAGCTCTTCCATGTATTTTTACTTCTATTGTTGTAATTTTCCTGTAGCTCAAGTTATTGGTTTAGTTCCAGATTTACCCTTTTGCTCACTAATGCTTTAAAGTCAGACCAAGCATCTCTCCTTGAATTATCCCTGCTTTGTTTCAGTGCCTTTGTGCATCGCTGTGGTCGAACAGCACGGATTGGAAATGTTGGCAGTGCACTTGTATTTTTGCTTCCCATGGAAGAATCTTATATTAACTTTCTTTCAATCAACCAAAAGGTCAGTAGAGTTTTATTATAACCTCTGCAGAAAAGGGCAATGGAGCAGACACCCATCAGACATTTAATGACAGGCATTTTGAAGTCAGAATTCATTGGGCTTAAGATCATATGCACTGATAAAGTTTTAGCAGAGGTGCATAATTAAAAAAAGAGAAGAGCTGCTTATTAATCACCAAATTCAGTTGTTAGAATGTGATTGCTCCCTGTGTCATTTACTGAGTGCATAGAACAGCCTGGTGAAAGGCAGGGAAAGGTGCTCAAAAAGTACTGAAGATCAACTGGAGAGGAAATGAGTTTGAAGCTTCATAGCACATTTCAAGTCATTCAGCTCAACTTTGCATTTCTTTTTGCATTTCTTTCTTTGTTTTCAGTGTCCCATGCAGGAAATGAAACCACAGAGAAATGTGTTAGATCTTCTTCCAAAACTGAAGTCTATGGCTCTCGCTGACAGGGCAGTGTTTGAGAAAGGGATGAAAGCCTTTGTCTCTTACATCCAGGCTTACGCCAAGCATGAATGCAATCTGATCTTCCGAATGAAAGGTAACTCCCAGCAGGAGCTGGGGATCTTTTGCTGTTCTCCAGCCAGAAGGCAATATTTGGTTTGGCAAAAAAAGCCATGATTATTATCCAGAAGCTACAACCACCCATTTCTGTTCTCAGAGGTACTTCCTGCAGTATCCAGTTGTGACAGAATTCTTATTTGCTTAAGCAATTTCTCATCGTTTTCAGAGAAAATGTTTAATTAGCAAGTCTGACTGAAACGAACCTGAGCATAAATGTGACCTAAGGTTGTTACTGCTATTAAATACAAATTTCAGGATAATCTTTTTTCCTGTGACTCTGTAAGTTAACTTTTTATCCAGCAGAAAACTGACTTTATAATCCTTATCTTAACAGATCTGGACTTTGCTAGTCTTGCTAAAGGTTTTGCCTTGTTAAAGATGCCAAAGATGCCTGAGCTAAGAGGAAAATGTTTTCCAGACTTTACTCCAGTCACTGTTAATACAGACTCCATTCCATTTAAGGATAAAAATAGAGAAAAACAGAGGCAAAAGCAACTTGAAAAACAAAGAAAGGAAAGACAGGAAAGTGGAGGAAAAAAGAAATTCATAAAAAACAAATCCTGGTCAAAGCAGAAAGCCAAAAGGGAGAAGAAGAGGAAAATAACAGCTAAAAGGAAGCGTGAAGAGGTAAACAGTGCCCATCTTATTAAAGTGCACGTCATTGCTTTAGCATAGGTGTGAACTGCCACAAGGCAGAGCAGTGGGATTTCAGTGTGACAGGAGTGAGGTGCACTGCAGAATTACTTACTGAAAAGAAACCTTCCAGGTCCTTGACAGGCAAAGCATAAAAAAAAAAGCTTTTTAAAGCCAAATGTTGTAGCAATTTCTCATCACTCATAGTGAATTGCTGGCAGCATAGGCTCATAGGCTGCACGGATTGTAAGGGATACAGCAGTCACTTCAGTGGACAGTTCTTATTTGTTGTTGCTTTTATTTTTGTATCTTACTAAGGTTATTTGATAGATTGGTTGTAGAAATTGAGTGTAATTTCCTGCTTGGATGCTGCTGGCAAAAAAACGTAAAATTCTGTTGTGTTCAGCTACATAGAAATGAAGCCTTTTGGTGTCGTGTGTAATCTGTTGTACTTAATGGCTAACAGGGCTCTGATGTGGAAGATGAGGACATGGAAGAGCTGCTGAATGACACGAGACTCTTGAAGAGATTAAAAAAGGGGAAAATAAGTGAAGAAGAATTTGAGAAGAGGCTAACAGGTAGCCAGAGTAAATTCAAAGAAGAAGCTGCTGCTGAGACTGAAGGTTGATGTTTATTCCAACTGGACTTTTACATTAAGATACTCCTTGTTCCAATAAAACTGTATTTTTATAACAAAATAATGATGCAGAGAACAGAACAGATTTAATTTCTTCGTAAAGAAACCTGGTTTCCATAAGCACAGTTAAGAACAAAGCTAAAAGCACTGCCCTTGTATGATTTGGCTGGAGCTACAGCTTTCTTTTGGAGCATTTATTTCAGGGCTTATTTTTGTTCACAGATCAGTGAGTGACAGCACAGCTCCGAATGAGGCCGCAAACACCATAAGTTACTTTATTTTTCAGCACTGCAGTACTTGGCCCATCTTTCAGATAATTCATTGAAGGTATTCAGAAGCTGTAGCAACTTGGATTTTTCGTTTCTAAACAGCGATCCACCCCCAGGTAATGCCTTAAGCTGAAGAAGGCCAGTAATGACATGAATCCTTGTAATGCTGTCTCCTTACCACGTCCAGCCCACTTCATCACCTGCCAGGCTCTTATAGCTGTGAAGTCATCGAAGATGGTACATTGCACAGCATGTCCTCATGTTACAGATAGAGCTTAATGAGTTCATCACTGACAGCTGATGGAGTTAACACACCGAGGTCTGTAAACAGTAATGTAATGAGTGACGGTGATGTGTAGTCAATCCAGGGATGTTCCTCTGTTAGATTCTGACTTGTTTTCAGAGTGTCTGCTTTGTACTAGAAGGAAATGAGACCATTAATTACTACACAGTTGTGAGCTGAAACCTCTCTTGGGCAGGGGCAGTACTGTAATCCTGAGCAGATATTTGTGGTAAAATGGAAGGAAGTCAGCTGCTTTAAATGAGGCATACACTGCCACCTTGGTCTCGGGTGTTTTACCTTCTATCCACCATACAACTTATAGTGCTGAAGTGTCTTGATGTAGCTGTTTCTTGCCTGCAGCTTTGTGCCCCAAAGGAACTGCTTTTAGTAACTCAGTGAGAGTGTTAGGACAAACTGTGGACGTTTGAGCTGAATGTGGAGCAGCTCTGTACTGTGTCAAGTTAACTACAGTAGAGAGAGCCAAATAAACGAAGACGTGCTTAGAAGGAGAATTACTCACAGGCACGTAAGTGGATCTCAGTTTGCCAGGAAGCAACCTGTATTTCTCTTACCTTAAACTTATCTGGGACATCCTGCTGGTTGAGAGGGAAAAGTCTTACAAACTTGAAACTTTCTGCTACCACATAAAATGGCTTATTCTGAGCTTTGGCACACACAGCAATCTGATTGGTGCCAATCTGTGGAGACACAAAAAATAACATGCAGATTCAGTGCTAGTTTGACTTATCATTGGAAATGTGGCAATATTAACACTTTCACTGATTGATATCCAAGAAAATTTTAATAGAGTTCACAGACTGATGTAATGCATTCTCTTTTACCTTGTTAATAATGCCTCCACTTTCAACTACACCTTCAGCACCAACTAAGACCAGGTCCACTTTCTCCATAATATAGCTGTTGAAGGAGGGGAAAAAATCCAAGTCTTAGTAAATAATATGACTCGTGGAACAGAACAGAGATAAAGAACTCAAACAGTCTCTCACTTTTCTAAAGTAGTTTTAGCTGCTGTTAGCTAAGTAGGGCTGTGTTGTTAGACATCCTTGGAACGAGTCTTCACTCACCTGCTTGCTCAGCAAGAATGGCACAAGCCATGTCTGACATTGACAATTGTGTAAGTGCTGGGAGAAATTCATCAGTTGTAGTCAGTACATGACAAAATATGCTATAATTTAGCTTAAAAACAAACACAACATTTATAAAGTGGAAAAATCAAAGTAGCTTTCTTTAGTACAGCAGCTCCTTCTCCACGTATCCCCAAGTTCTACACTTGGGTTGATGGAGTCAGACCTAATAGGCAAACATCAAAGTACAGGCTTTGCAGCAGGCATATTTGCTTAATTATGCACTTAAAGGCATAACTTGCTTAGCTTGTTTGATGACTATGACAACTATTTAGAACAATCTTCTATGGAACTTAAATGTAACAATGTTAAAATAAAGTTGGGATGAACAACATTAAGATTTAATGATCAGGCTTACCCAACTGCAGCATCCAATATCACAGTCACAGGAATGTTCAGTTTCCTCAGGGCCTTTGCCATTTTTTGCCTATCAAAAATCAAATATGAAGCTTAGAAGTCTTTCTTCGAAGATGGTGCTAGAAAAATAATGTCTGGAAGAATGAAATCCATGACGTCCTGTGTTCCTACAAGGCTAGCAGCTTTTAAGTTATGACAGATTTGATGCTAGCTATAGCTTATCCTCTAAACCGAGATCAAGCACAAGTTAATGAGTACTTGCCCTGCTTGGTCTGGCTGTGATTCAGTAACATAAACGCTGAATCGCTTCTTTGACTCAACAGCTGCTTCTAGCACTCTGAGGACCACTCTTGAGTAGGCATGTGTCAAAATCCTCTGTCAAAACAGACAAAATATTACTTCTTGCTGAGCTCTGAAACATTTATTGCAGTTAGGAGTGTCAGGGTTTTTACTTTGCTTGTGTCGATGTTAATTAATATCTAACATATGATGCTATGGTCTTAAACTAAAAGAGGGACAGTTTAGACTGGATATAAGAAAAAAGTTACGATAAGGGTAGGGAAGCACTGGCACCAGGTGTCCAGAGGGGTGCTGGTGCCCCATCCCTGCAGCCAGCCATGGTCAGGGGACGGGGCTGTGAGCACTGATGGAGCTGTGGGTGTCCCTGTGCACTGCGGGCAGTTGGACTATATGAGATTTAAGAATCTCTTCCAACTGAAATGATTCTATAATTCTATGATGTTGCTTGTATTCTAGAGATTGTAGGAAAGGAAACCACTCTGAGAGATGGGCTTGATATGGCAGTCCTGCTACTAAAGGGCAACAATTCAGTACATTAAATGGTAACTGCGTGTTGCGATGTCTCAGCACAGGTGGAGCACAGGACAATGCATTGCATGGAAACAGAAGGAGGGGAGAAGACGAGCCCTTACAAAATAAAGCCAAGGCTTCTGTGAGTGCACAGGGATAATAACGTTGTCCCCTCCTCCACTGCTTCTATGGATGTTGGTGAGCTTCACCCCCTCCTCCTCTGCCTTCCCAGCAGCGCAGGCAGCACAGCCTGGACACAAGCAGCTGCCCTGGCCCACTTACGGCTCCATCTCTGATGAAGGGATGGCACAGCTTGGCGATTTTGTTCCTCGAGAGAGACACCTTCCTGAGGAAGATCTCCCCGCGCTCGATCATGATTTCTTTGCATTTGGAGTAGTCCTGGAAAGGACGGCGAGTGTTGAAGCAGCCGGCCGGCCCCATAGCACGGAGCTGGGCGGGAGCCCGCGCCTTACCGAGTACTCCAGCGAGGTGAGGCTGATGAAGCGCAGGAAGAGCTCCCCGCCGGAGTTGACGGCCACCGAAGAGTCCACCCGCGACAGCGTATCGATGGCATCGCGCAGGCTGCTCCGCAGGCCCTGGATGGTTTCTCCTGGGGGGCGGACAGAGCGGCGCTGTCAGGGTCGGGCCTCCCCGGTTCGGGTTCGGCCGCGGGGGATCGGCGCCCACCTCGGTCCCGCCGCAGGAAGCCCAGCAGCGCGCGGATGGCGGCCACCGCCGAGGCGACGTCGGGGTCGTCCCTCAGCTGCGCCCTGAAGGTCTCGATCAGGTCTGAAAAGCAAAGGGCCGCCTCAGCCTCGGCTCGACCAGGCCCCCCGCCTCCCTCCTAGCGCCCCGTTACCGTCCGTGCTCATGGCCGCCCACGCCCTGCCCGGCTCCGCGCGGCGCCCTGAGATGACGTAGTGCTCCGCGTGACGTCACCGGTGCGCGCCGCCGCCGGCGGGATGGGCGCGGGTGAGCGGCGGCGGCCGGGGGATCCGGGAGTGGGGGTGGGCCGGGCGGAGCCGAGCCCCGCGCAGCGCAGCCCCGGGGCTCCGGGCGCGGCCTTCTGCAGTGACCCCCTGTCTGTTTTGCAGACGAGGAGCTGAGCCTGCTGGTCATCGTCATCGACACCAACCCCATCTGGTGGGGGAAGCGGGCGCAGGGGGAGGCTGAGGTGCGTCCAGGGACGGCGCTGCGGCGGGGCCGCTTCTCAGGGAAGTCCTCGGGGAAACCGTGGTGGGAAATACGAAAGATATTCACAAACAGGGTGCGAGACTGAAGAGTCTCTTCCAACTGAAATCGTTCCATGGTTCTACAGCTGCCAAAGCTTTCCTTAAAAGCTTCCTGTTAGAAAGGGAACTACGCCTTCAAGTTCTAACTGCAGTTACATGGATTAGTTAACTGTGGATGCTGACTTGCTGAATTGTTCTTTTTTTTGGGCAGTTCACCCTGTCAAAATGTATCGACGCAGCAATGGTGCTGGGAAATTCACACCTGTTCATGAGTCGCACCAACAAACTTGCTGTGATAGCCAGTCACACGCAGGAAAGGTACAGCAGCTTCTCACCACTATAAAAGCCTGAAGTGTTTTTCTATGTCTCCTGATAGCATAGGAGAGAAATGATCTGTTTTAGTGCCTTTTGCAAAGCAAGGAAGAGTCAATGAAAGTGACAAAAGTTTCCCGTTTGGTTGATGTCTTCTAAAGAAATTCACGTCTCGGAATCTACGTACAAATGTGTGCTACCTGTTTGCCAGTTTGCTTAAAATGTGTCTTGAAAGGAGGGCAGTGAACCATTTGGGGCATGAAGATTTCTTGCCTAATGTATCCAAAATAATGTCTAAAATTTTAAAATCATTTGAAATTTTACTTCAAAATATTGCTGTTTATGAGTGGTCAGCTTACGTCTTTTTTTTTTCTTACAGGCTTAAAGCAAACCACAGTACTTTGTTCTTCCTCTCTTTCAGCCGTTTCTTGTACCCTGGGAAGCGTTGGGCTTCTGCAGATCTCCTTGGAGATGGTGGCAATTCTGTGGAATCGAATTGTTCTGGCAGCAAGGATGGAAAATATGAATTGTTAACAGCGATAAACGATGCAATTGCAGAAGAGATTAAAGACCTCATGACAAAAAGTAAGGAAAAGAAAATTCTGGGTTTCATAATGTGGAATTGCAAAACGTTCTCTAGGACTTGTAGGAATTTCATTTCTTTTCTCATCAT